TGGTCAATTTCTTGTCAGCGATCTCAATATAAAAGCTGTGAGGTGGATATTAATGAATAATTGTTATTGATTATTCAACAGTAACAGAACCGGGGTGGCACTCACCTCCCTATTTTATCGATGGAAATACATTTTCTTTCGTTATAACAACAAATTTCGTTTGCTTTCAACTGCAGAATAATTTGATATTATCAAAGACAAATTCTCACAAAAGATATGTTTCGTATCTTCTTGCGGGATACCCCAGAGTTGCAACAAATGCGTTGCAACTGCCGCTCTTTCTTGTGAATAGTTGATCCATCACTGACCAGACAGGTCTGCACAAGCAGGGAAATGACGAAATAAACTCAAAACAAACAAACGATCCCTAGTTGCTGGAATTTCAACAAAAGAAAATAACATCAAGTATGCAATGGGTGTCAAATCAGTATAGCTTTTGGTTTGACCCTATTGTCGCCGCAAAAGGCGCGTGACCCATTCAGTTTTCCCCTCCATGGTCATCCACATTTAATTTTGATCAGACTGAAACTTAATGTTGTGATTTTAGTTCATCCGTGCCTCATTGGCCATAAATTCATTATCGGCATTCGGAGTTACAAAAATGGCACGGCTAAAAGTCATATGTGCCTTTTGGAACTCAAATAGAATACTGCCAAAATGTACCTGTCATTTCTCAAAAGTTTCTAAAAATCAAATACAAGTGGACACCGTACGTTATTTCTGTACTAGAATGGGCGCTTCACATAACGAAACACATCAATTTTGAACAGTAATGGGCTGCAATGCCATGGTGCTTCGTCTACTATGCACTCCTGCAAGACAGCTGTGACTGTACACGCACAACACCAACTGGAATTGCTTTTGCTTGTACATTTGTCTGTACTTAAGTCAGCTGTTATTTTTGTTTTCCATAAAGAATGCCAGAAAACACACGCCAAACGCCACGGTAGACACAATGTTGGTTCTACAAACGCAGTCTGCGCTCCTGCTGGACATGCCAACATAGACCAGGGGAGTGGGGGGGGGGGGCTGGAGAGCCTATGGCTCTTGCCAATTGTCCCGACATATTTGTCCAGGATTGTCTGACTTTACGCATGCCTGTTTGTGTGTGTGTGAGGAGGGTCTGGTCACTTAGAGCGTGCGAAAAAATTTCAGCATTCGACGATTTGAATTAACACTAACTTAAAATAAACATCAAATGGGTTGAATTCACCCTCAAAACATCACAAGCATTGTCGTGATTGTATACTTCACCCTCACCCAAGAGAACGCGTAGCACGCGATAAAATAATAGGGCACGCGTGCGATATATAGAGGGCACACTGCCAACGGTACGTGTGTTCATGGGGCTCATTAGAGAGGTTTAGTTGCACGTTCTACGTGAACGTGAACTCGAAAAAAGTGTGGACTCTTGCTGACGTCATCGCTT